AAAATATACAGGTAGCAATGCAGCTGCGACACTTCCAGATAATTAAGTCTACCCAACGGTAGAAGGTTTCTGCAAAGGATAGGCCCCAAAGCCCAGGATCCTTCCACCCTTCTCCAAGACGCGTGGTTTGGCCAAAGCAGTGTCTCCTAATGGGATAGGGTAAAGGAAGAGGGTTCAACAGGAAGGAAAATCTGGGGAGAGGGGTTCACACTGCATTAGTGGTGCTGGCAAAGGAGACGGCAGAGGGTACTGAGAGATTCACTGCAAAGGCGAGTTTGTGGGGCCTGTCGGAGAGAAGGCCTCGCCTAGGAGTTGCAACACACTCTTTCTCCAGTGCGCAGCGCTCGGCCTGGGGGAGGGGAAGGAGGGGAAACAGCTGCCAGGGGAGCAGCGGGCCCAGCCCGGCCCGGCCCGCTCACCGTGAGTGTGTCGTCTATGTAGAGGGGAATCTGCCTCCTCTCGAAGGGGAACTCCTCCTCCCCGTCCCTGCACACTGCCACCAGTCGCGCCATCGTCCCCGACGCTGCCGTTGCCACCGTCACCACCTCCTCCCAGCTGCCGCCGCTGCTGCTCCAGCCGCTGCCGCCTCCTCCCAGCTCCTGCCTGCAACAGCCAAACCCCGCGAACGTAAGCACCCGCCGCCGCGCAGCACATTCGCCACAGGGAGGAGGGAGCCGAGCCGGAGGGGACGGGAGAGCCACGCTGCGTTTCCCATCACCCGATTCCACACGCGCTCAGCCAATCAGCTCCGGGCAGCGCCGGGACCCGCCCCCTCGCGCCGCTCTCCCTCCTTCTCCCCCCGCCCGCCGGCCTCCAGTCAGGGTCCAAAGGCGAGGCGGAAAGGACCCGCCGGCCCAGGGCTTCCCCGCCCGTCACGGGCGTCCCGGATCCGGGATCTCCGCTCCATAACCCATTCCCCGCTTCCTGCTGCCGAGATGCCCTCAGCCCCAGCTGACCCCTACTCCCCTTCCTGGTGCGCCCCGCCCAGCGGGTCCCCTAGGCTGCAGCTGCCCAGCGCGACCCCGCCTCTGGGAGGGATCGACCCCGCCTCAGCTCTGCAGAGTCCGGGAAAGGGGCAGGCTCGGACCTCGTCCTCACCCTGCTTCGCTGGTGGGCTCCCGGTTCTGACCTTCACCGCTTTCGCGGTCGCCTCCCTGGCCCCCACCTCTGCTCCCCGTTACCGGCTGACGAGGCCCGCGTCAGGGCCGGCCTGGGCAGGAGCGCGGCTGAGAGTGCCGTTTCCTCTCCAGGCTCGGTCAGCCGCTCGCGCCACGGGGAGTGGGGGAGGGAAGGCGGGAGACGTGGGGAGGGTGGGGCAGGGAGGGGCCGAGGGTTGCGGGCGGGGTCCCCGCCTCTTCTCGCGAGACTGCGGGCCGCGGCTCTCGTCCTAGCTTCCGAGGTCTGTGTAGAGGGGGTATACTGCCCCAGCCATCCAGCTCCTGTCACCGGTGCTTAGATCCCGAGTTTAGGTCCTCCAGTTCGGAATAGGGCTGATAGGACTAAGTGGACTTACACCTCAGTCCTCCGTGCGGGGCTGAGCACAGCTCTCCAGGGATAAAGGGAGCCGGGATGAGCTAACTCAGGATCCTGGCCCAGGGAGGACTTGGGTACGTAGTGAGAAGCTAAGGCTCCGGGGGTCAGTGGGGAACAGAAGCGAACGGGAGCGAGAGGCGAACTCTGGCCTTGGTTTCCAGGCACTTGACGCCACTTGGTTCCCCCTACGGGTTAACTGAAAAGAAAAGAACCCGGCCTCCTTGGCTGATACAGCGAGAGCCAGCTGCATAGCTGCTTCTGAGCGTCCAGATCCCCCGGGAGGAAGGAAGCTACTCGTGCTGACAGGTTTTTTGCTTTATTGCGCTGGAGGCAAATAGAACACTGAATGGTGTTTATGCATCCTGACCAAAGTTGTTTAAATTTAGGCTGAGTTAATTTGTGTATGTGTGTGTTTTTGAAAGAGGGTCCTGCTATGCAGCCTGACCAAGGCCAGCCTGGTCTCATACTCGCAGTAATCCTCCTGCCTCAGCCTCCTGGGTGCTGGGATTACAGGCGTGCGCAGTGCCCCACCACACTGGGCTGAGTTAATATTAATTTAGGGACTCCTTTGAGCAAAGTACTGGTGGTGAGAAAAGCACTGCAGTGGGCAAAGGCCCTTCCTTCGGACTGGCTCCCAGACGCAGAGCTGCCATCAACACGGTTCCTGTCCACTGTCCACTCCGTGCACTCAGATCCTACCTTGAAGACTTAAAGACCAGTTGAAAGGTCAAAACACTTTTGTTGGGGTGTATTTTGCCTGTGAAGGTCTTGATGACCTTAAGGATAAATACATTTGCCGCTTTTATAACTGACCAGTCCTAAGGACAGCTGTGTTTCCTGGTAGAATAAAGTTTTGTTACTGACCTTTAAAAATATTTTGCCCCGGTCTCTGTGTGTGTGTGTGTGTGTGTGTGTGTATGACATCATATGAAGTCTTAGAAACTCACAACAAAAACTCGAGTGCATCCTTAGCCATGCTGACTTATGACATTGTGTGGTCACTGTTAGGGTAAATGACATAATAAGCTGGAAGAACCATTGTTTAGTTCCAAAGTGTGACTTATCTTTTCATATTCAGAAAGCAGAACCATATGGTCATTAGCTTAAATCCCGTAAGTGTATAGAATGTACACGCAGCTTAAAAGTTTATGGGTTTCAGTTAAAATTTGGACATTTTTAAAGAACCTTGCATTACAAAACATTTTAGGGTCTAGAAGTGCTTCTTTTTTTTTTTTTTTTTTTTTGTTCCTCGAATGCCTTCAGGGCACTTTTGGCCAGCGGGAGAGTTGTGAGGTTCGAACTCCAGCAACCTGAGGCTGACAGCTTTGTGGAAGCAGCCACTTAAAGGCCTGAGCTAGGGCCAGGCCCCCTAGAAGTGCTTCTGTAGGTTTACCTACTTTGTCTTTTAAGCTTCATTTGGGTTATGTTTGGTACTATTGAGAGTAACAAGCTTAATTCACCGTTGCTAGCTTACTCATTACTGAACACTACTAGCAAAGAACAGCTGCAAAGAAAATATTTGATTAAAATACTTTTCATAGCTTTCACCCAAACTTTGTTTAACATAAAAATCAATGACAGAATGTTTTTAAATATTGTTGCCTGTATCTGAGAATCTGTAGATTGGGTTTTCTTTTACATGAACTGACAGTGGGAGGTTCTATTGCACTGTTAAAAACAGAAATATATTTTCCTTAGATAATTTTACAAGGAAAAATAATATCCACAAGTTGAAAGGTAGCCTCCTAGCATAGTATTACGTCTCTACAATCCCAGCAACCTGGGAAGCTGAGGCAGGAGGATTATAAATTCAAGATTTCCCTATGCAATTTAGCAAGATCTTGTTTAATTTTTTTTTTTTTTTTTTCTGGGCATGGTGATACACAGCTATAATCCAGCACTTAGGAGGTTAAAGTAGGAGGATGCTTCAACTTCTAGGCCAGCCCAGGCAACATAAGCAAGTTCAAGGCCAGTCTGCCCCACATAGTAAGATCCTGTCTCAAAACAAAGTTTTTAAAGTTTGAAGAGACTGGGCGTGGTGGTATGTGCCTGTAACCCCAGCTCTTGGCAGGCTGTAAATAGGCAGATCACTACAGATTTGATCTAGTAGTGACCCTGAACACCCTGTAGACCCTTCCCTAAAAAATACAAAAAAATATATATATATAAAATAAATTTCGAAGTGGGAGATAGCTCAGTGGTTTATGTGCCTGCCTGGCAAGTGAAAGGTCCTGGGTACAGCATGCCCAGTCTCAACTGCCCTCTCAAGGAGCCTGAGGGCCAAAGCCAGAATGGCAGGCCCTGGGGATGGAACCCTTGGCCCCTGTGCCTGCTTGCAGGCACTTTAATCCACTGAGCTATTTGGCTGGCCCGTGTCTTCACGTTGATTATCATCTTCCTTGGTTGAGGTAGTGTGCGGATAAATTAGTGTTCCCCCCATCCTTTGACTCTCAACAAAACAAAAAAACTATGGGGACTTTGGCTACTTACTAGATGAAATCTTATTCAGAGATGGTTTCACTTTGCAGTTCAGGCCGACTTTATAATCACTTTGAGATTTTTTTTTTTTTTTGCGGAACCGAGCATTGAACTCAGACCCTTGCACTTGTCAGGAAAGTGCTTATTCTACTGAGCCATCTCCCCAGCCCTATAATCACTTTGTAACCCAGGCTGGCCTCCAACTCGAAGCCATCCTCCTGGCTCAGCCTCCCAAATGCTGGGATTACAGGCATGCTCCACCCCTGTGGCAACCTATGCCTTTTTTTCTTACCAGTTTGTAATTTTACTTAACCTGTGTGTCCCACTAGGATGCAAGCTCTAAGATCTTATGAAATTTGTGTGTTGCCTGTCATTGTATCCCAAGTAGACTAAAATGTCTCAAAGCAGAACTTGTCTCTATACAGCAGAACTATCATACAATTAACTTCTCAATTCATTATGTATTTGATTTTGAACATTTGCTACTTTTTTGTAGGCTTTATTAAAAACCAAAGTTAAACAATACTGACAGTCTGCAATTCATAGTGAAACACTTTCATGTAAATATTCCATTTGATGTAGACAAATAATGAAAAATACAACATGACATAAGGTGATGTTTAAGATAGTAATCCCAACTGTCCCATGTTCCAGTGTCAAAACGCTGAAGTTTCCTTAAAATATTGGCAGTTAACAAATTTTAACAAGTTACAAGGCTTTATTTCTTTTCTACTGGTTTTATATGTTGAAAAATATTGAAGAAGCAGGGAGGCCCAGTGACACATGCCTATAATCGCAACTGCTCAGGAAGCTGAAGCAGAATGACCCCCACCTGGGCAAACTATTGAGACCCCCCTACTTGAAAGAAAAGGGGAACAGAAGAGGAAAAGAAAGGTAGACATCATCACTATAGAGAGGACTAGAACGTCAGGGTTGTTTTCTTGGAGACAGGGTCTCATTATATAGCCCAGGGTGGCCTCGAACTTTTAATGATCCCCTGCCTCAGCCTACCAAGTGCTGGGACTATAAGCATGCAGCACCCTGCCTGGAATTTTATTTTTATGACAAGAGTATGTCAAGACTTGGTTTTTGAAAGCCCACTGTTCTCACGTTCTCCATTAATATGTTGCTCAAATATAAATATGCCCTACCCGTATTCATCACCAAAGCTTCACAGTTTTACCTTGCAAATAAAGTACATATATAATTAAACAATTGGTAAACATATAGATATAAAGCAAAAAGAATGCCCACAAGGTACTGCTGTGTAATGTATCTATCATTAGGTTGATCAGGCCAGTTGTTACATTTGACAGCAAGAAAAATATCAACTGGTTTCTATTCAGAGCTGTAATTAAACAAGGACTGGATTCCTTTCTTTCAGCTTTGAGGACTAGAAGTTCAGAATGCTTTTTATTTGAACTAGGTGACTGGATAAGTTTCCAAGAACATGGTACTAGAGCCCCTTTAATCAGAAATTTGGCAAAACTCAAAATTATATCAGTCAGTAATAAACAACTTAGAAAGATGAGGCTAGAAGCAACTATCCACATACAAAAGGCTAAATTGGCCATTCTTCGAGATACTGCTTCTACCTTTACTTGAACCATGTAAAGAGATATGAACAGGCTAATACTTACTAGTAGAAGACAACATGCTACTTTTATCCAGTCTTTGATATGTGTTCTGTTCCTAAACACATACAATCCTGTTTGTACACCAGCCATGTGAATTGCCACATACCCCAAAGTAGAGATTATTCCTTCTCGGTTAGCATTTAATAAACCAACTCTTGTACCACTACCATCAGTGCCATACAAAATCAACCTCTTCAGTGGGGTTAAATCAAGAGTTAGCTGGTATAACACAGTAATACTGATGGCCACAATCCAGGATTTATTTAGGGGGAAAACAATAAAAAGCATTGTTGTTACTAGTTTTACAAAAATTACGGTAAAGAAAAAGTTCCAGTGTACTCCATACTCAGTTAAATGTTCCTGATAGTCTATGGATTTTATAGCAACTAATCGTCCTACTCCTAGTATGATTAATGGCCAAACAGAGTACAGTGATTTTAGAAGATGATAAAATCCAGATCCCTCCATATATTTTCTTCTGATCTCTGGACAAACCATTGCACTCCCAAAAACCAAGCCGCCTACTCCAAAATCCATTGCCCCTGTCCCATAGAGCTCGGTTTTGGCAAATCTTCTGGGGAAAAGTGGGAAGTCCACAGCCAAAATGGCAATAGCAACAAATACACTGTTAGATACTCGGTAACAAGAGATGGTTGGATTGTATTCTGATTCTAGACTGACTTGCAAGAATTTTTCAAGGATTTTCTGGACAGGCAGTCTAGCATAGCAAGTTCTCTTTTGGTATATTTGATACAACAGCCCTGCTCCACAGATAATTATGATGAGAAGTTCAAGAAAGACAAATGAAGACAGAATAGTCAAAGCAATCATAAGGGGAACTACTAGGACAACAAAGTCAATGAAGAATTGAGTTCTCCAGGTATAGGAAAAAGACCACAAGTGCTGTAAGGAAATGATCAGGAGCCCCCTGCACAAGATACAGAATGCAGGTAAGCACAAGCCCTGGGTGATTTCCAGCACGCTCGTTCCATTGAGGTTACTGATGAAAGCTTCTTTCATCTGCTTTTGAGACATTTTTTTCTTTCTGTGAAAACAAGAACAAGGGAATGGATTTGTAGAAAGCATTCTTATGAAAATGACATATATACCCTGACTTTCATTTTACTCCTATTTCTAGGTTTCAGAGCAGCAGGTTAGGCCCTAGTGATTTAAAATCAAAGGGCAAACCTAGGACATGGAATTCCCCCTTCAAGGATTGTGTTAAGAAGCTGATGCTTGGAGCCAGGGAGATGGCTCAGTAGAATAAGTGCTTCCCTGGCAAGCATAAGGGCCTGAGTTCAATCCTTGGTTCTGGAGAAAAAAAGAAGCTGATGCTTTAGGGTATAGATATGTCATCTGAAGAGTATGAAGTTATCTGTAGGAAGCTTTAATTATTTTCAGTATGAGGTAGATTCAGTTACATGGCAAATCTGGGATGAAAATCCTAAGAATGGCATCATAGACAAATTTCTATTATCGGGGCTGGGCAAATATAGCTTCGGGGCACAGCACCTGCCTGGCAAGTGCAAGGTCATGAGTTCAATTCCTGGTACCCTCCCCCCCACAAAAAAAGAAATAGTTTAGCACTCCAGAGGTTAGCATTTAGGAGGCTAAGGCAAAAGTTTAAGCCAGAAATGCACTGTGAAACCCTATCTCAAAAAGACCAGAAGAAAACAAAGCAAAACCACTTACATTAGCACAGTCCCTATGTGCTAATACTGCCTAAGGAAAATGAATACAGTAGTTAGTGGTTTTCTTTCAGTCAAACTAGAAGCTGGGAGTGGTGGTGCTCACCTGCAATCTCAGCACTCAGAGGTTGAGGCCACACTGGATTGCTCTGTGTTGAAGGTCAGCTTGGACTACAAAAGTTCAAGGCCTGCCTCAACTACATAGCAAGAACCTGTTTAAAAAAGGAAAAACGGGCTGGGGAGATAGCTCAGTAGAATAAGCACTTGCCTGGCAAGCGCAAGGTCCTGAGTTCAATCCCCAGTACCAAAAAGAAAAAAGGAAAAAAAAAAAAAAAAAACCAACTACAGGCAAAAACAAGGGGAGAAGCTCAAAGGATGCTTTAGAGTTTGGGGTCCTCAAATTCTGTTCAAAGCCTCTCTGAACCTACTGTCTCCTGTACAAAATGCGAGCCCTCCTGAAACCCAGGCTGCTGCCCTCCCCCTTTGTCTTTTTGAGACAGGGTCTCCCTATGCAACTCAGGTGGCCTTGAACTCACTTGATAGCTGAGGCTAGTCTCAAACTCGAAATGATCCTCCTGCCTCAGCCTCCCGAGTGCTGGGACTACAAGTTGTAAACCACCATGCCCGGCTGCTCTTCTTATTTACTTAAGTCATAGTCTTCCTTTAACGAATGTAAAAGATCTCTGCCACATGCCAATGTCTGACAAGTGGCACACCGGCAGGACCCATTTACTAGCCACTATACTGAATAAATAAATGGCTACGCATGCACTAGAGCCGGCCTGGGCCCTGCAATAATACTTCGCCGTAACTGAAGTGCAAAAGCTGGCCTCTCAAAGCCCTTTTCCTAGCAGTGGCCCGCCGTGGCCGGGACCCGCCGTGGCCCGGACCCACCGCTCCCGCAGCAGCGCTTCCGCCTCCCGAGCGGCGCTTCCGGTGTCCGCGGGGCTGCCTGTCTGCACTTCCGGCCCGCAGATGCTTGGCGCCGTGGTCGGATTGCCGCGCGCTGCCTCCCCATTACGTTCCCACCGGGTCGTGGCCCTGGGCTGGTCCCTGAGAAGAGTAGCATAGGCGGCCCCCGGACCCACAGCGAGGCCCTAACAGGGGTAACCGTGCGGCGCGCTCACACGGGATCTACTCGCGGCGCCCCCTACCAAACTAGTTTACGACCCTCGGAGCCCAGCAAAGCACGCTTCCCGCAAGTCTCCCCCAGAACCCTGGAGGCCGTCTTAATGCCTGCCCCTTACCCACGGTTTCCCCTCTCTAGTCTCAGGTGGAGCCTGCCGGCTGGACCGCTCCGGCCACGTGTGCCCCGCCGCGTGCGCGCGCGCCCCGCCCCGGGGAGGAGCCGGCCGGCGCCCGGCGCGGTGGCTGGAACAGCGGCTGGACGGGTTCGACGCGGTCCCGGCTCCTGCTGCTCTCGGCTCGCCGCCGCGTCTCTTCCCTCCTCGGAATCCTCACCCAGCTTCGCCCCGTTCGCCCGCCGTTCAGTTGGCGGGGTCTGCACGCTCGGCAGCTTGGGGCGTGGGACGGGTGAGTGCCAGCCCAAATCCGAAGCCCTTCACGGCCCCAAGAGGGCAGGGAAGCCAGTTGGCCTCGCAGCTCTAAGGTAGAAAAGGCACCTCCCCTTACCTCCCTAAATCGCCCTATCCCTTTCCCTCTTCCTTTTCCGTTTCGGGCCGCTCTTGTCCCAAGTGAAAGTAGCCCTGCTACTTTGCCAAGAAGGTCCTTGTTTCCCAAGAACAAGGACCTTTCACGGTCATCCTTCACCTTTCTACCTTGTTATTACAGAGCAGACCAGGACGGAAGGGGGTCCCGGTTGGCAGACTGGATCTGGACCCCTGCTCTATTCCAGACCTATCCAACAACTGGGGGAGAGAGGGTTTTGGGGGGATGCTGGTCCTGAGAGGCTTCAGGGAAGCCTTGCCCTTGGCTGGGATCGTGTCCACCCTGCCTAAAGGACAGACTTACTCTCCCCGTGCCAGGTGCTTCCGGAGCGGCATCCTGCCCTGGGCACGTCGCCCGCACCAGGAGTCGCACCTCCCGCCAGGAACCTAGGGCGGAGCGGCTGGGTTCCCAGGACCCTTACCCAGGGCTCCCGCCACCCCCCATCTGTCTTCCAAACCAAAAAAAAAAAAAAAACAAACCAAAGCGGGGAGGAGAAGGAGATCAGGTTGCCACCTGCCTAGACTCAGAGTTGCACCTATTCATTACTCCCTTCTGCCCACTGCAGTCACACCCTTTGGTAACCACGAACACAGAGCGGGAACGGGGAGAACTAAAGAAAACCGCTCTACTCTGCTTTGACTCCAGCTTCGAGCTGATAGTGCATGGCAAAACCAAATCTGCAATGTTTGCCGGGAAAGTAGCCCATTTGAGACAACTTAGCCCCCCCCCCCATGTTATTCCATTTGCAAATGAAAAAAAAAGTAATAATAAGGTGTAAAGAGCTCTTGTGATCTGTAAAGGGGTGTGAGCTTTGAATTCTAAAATGCCCCATCTGGTGCTCACCAAGGGTTTCTCTAGATAAACCAATAGCCCAGGGAGGTTTGTTCGCCTTGAGTCTCCCTAGACCTCCACATGACTATCTCTTGGATGGGATCATATCAGTGTCCAGAGTGAAGGTGCCTGATACAGTCCTGATAACTTTTTCTGAGCTGTCCTTTTCTACTTTTCCATGGCAGTCCCTATTCCTAGCTTCTTTAAAAATTAGATGCTCTATTCCCAGCACTCAGGAGGTTGAGGCAGGAGGTAGTGGCAAGTTCGAGTCTAGCCTGGTCTACACAATGAACTCAAGGCTGACCGGAGCTAGATTAGGTGTATTCAGAGCCTTGTTAGGGATAAAGGTGTGCCTGATTCCCAACCCTCTTTGCTGGGGGAAGTGTTGAGGCCTGCGATCTCCCAAGTGTGAAGGTCAGCATGCCTCACAGAGTGTCAGCTCACCTAACACCCTCCATCTCCCATGGGTCCCCCTGATTAGCATCCCCACATGGATTAGCAACGTTTAGTTGTAGCCCTAACACCATTCCCCCTCAGTGAATATTCATGTTTGTACTGTGTGTGGTGCTTTCATACCATGACCTTATTGACCTTCATAAGCACCCTGCACATTATGTTTAATGAGCCCCATTTTCAAGGTGAGTTGGAGGTAGATGATACAGCTTACCCAAGGTCACACACCCAGTGAATGGCTGCACCACAATTTTGCTCTCTTACAACAGCTCTCCTGTTATGTCAGGAGTTGACTCCAGCCTCTTCTCCCCATCTGGCTGACTGTACTGAAATAAGATATTTCCATCCAGTGGAAAAGATAGGGCATGAGGCTGTCTCCCCTGTCTAACCTCTGTAGCCTACTGACCCAGAAGATTTGCAGCCCCACCTAACCCTAAAATTAGTAAAACTGGCCCTGAGGTGATTTGTTTGGATTTGTTGTTCATTTGTAGCCCTGGCTGGCCTTGAACTCTTCTTGATGATCTTCCTGCCTCAGCCTCTGGAGTGCTGGGATTACAGTCATGCACCACCACACCCGGCCCAGAGGTTTTACTACAAGTAGAACTTCACAAAGTAGCCCAAGGGATCTCTGGAAGCGCTCATCAAAGTTTTCCCTGTTCTGTAATTATCAGGGAAAGGGACAAACTCTCACTCTTTGCCCAGGCCTGACCTAGTTCTCATTTTGGTTCTGCTTAGTAGGAGGAGTAGGAGTGAGTCACCCTGGAGAAATTCTCACCTGTGTGTGGCCCTTGTCTTCTGTCTTCATGCCACAGACTCTAAGATGACTCGTCTGAGCCTCCAGACCTGAGCACTTCACTGGAAGTAGGCGCATGGCCCTATGACCAAGTGGATAGCAGTCCTTAGGCCTGCCACCCGGAACCCTGGCTGATCACACTGAAGCAGGATGCTCCGTCAGGTGAGATGTCAACATTATAAAACTCAGGCCCTCAGTCTTTCATGTGCCTGGAGTTTCTGTTGCTTTTACATGAAAGGACAGGAAAGACTCCTTAAAGGTCTTTCCTCTGTTTTCCCTTTAGGTTATCACCCCAGTGCTCTGGAGGTATAATTTGAATCTCTCCTGTTGTGGTTTTTAGCTCTTTTCCTTGGGAGGGTTAAGATGGGATAGGTAAAGGAATCCTTAGGTCACTTTGTTGACTTTAGAGAGAGGGAATCTTGAGCAAAATCTCTACCAACATGCTGCTAAGACACAGTAAAAGCTGAGGATATCCAAGAGTGTTCTTTGACGCTGAGCTTAAAGAATAAGAAGGAATTAGTCAAGTAGAGAAGGATAATAAACATCCAGGCACAGTGGTCAGCCTCTTCAAAAATGTAGATGATATATGTGAAATTACAGAAAGATTCTGATGGATGGATGGATCATGGAGTATGTGAATCTTGTCTTTACTCCAGGCTTCTGCCTCTGAAGAGGCTGCTGTCACCCCCAACCTCTAAGGTTCCAAATCCTCTAAGTATTGCCTGGCACACTGGGTTGAGGTACATATTTCACAGTGTAGTTGAGTCCTAGGGCAGCAAGACAGCCAGGTGTGGGGCTGGCCAGCCTGAAAAGACTCCTGGGAGATACTGCTGCTAGCACTTCCTACCATTTGGCTCAGGAAACAGTCTGGAAGGCTGGAAAGAAACTTATTTATTTATTTGCAGGGAAATTTATTAGAGACAGGGAATAGGGATTAGGAATAGCTCTTGAGAGACAGGAGAGGTCCTGAGTGAATAGGTTGCTCAGACTTATTTTTAAATTTTTGAAATGGTCTCACTATGCGGCTCAGACTCCTAGTGATCCTCCTGACTCAGCCTCCCTAGTGCCGGGATTATAGGGGTGGACCACCACACCTAGTTCGGAGTCAGCACTGCATGTGGTACTAGGGATGGAACTTGGGACCTTGTGCTTGCCAGTCAGGTGTTTATGCTACCAAGCTATCTCTGCAGCTCTACCCAGACTTTGGTATTTAAACTTTTTTTCCCCCAAAACAGCCATGTTTACCACTTACCATACTATCAACTCTCATGTGTTAAGCCCTTGTTATACAGAAGGCTGAGTGTTATATGCTATTTTGTTTAATGCATACACCATTCCTATGAGGAATGGATTGTGTTATGTGCTAGGCAGTTCTATAGTGTCCCCATTCTAGAGAACAGCAGGGATCTGAAAGGCTAAATGAGTGTTTCAAGGTCATATCAGAAATTTGAAAAAATAAGGATAAACAAAAGCAACATTAAGGACTGTCCAGATACTCAGCAGGCTAAAGCCCCTGCTTAAGCAGAGCCTACGGGCTGGGGTTTGATTGTGGCACCACAAAGCCTGCTGGGCCCCGCCCCGGGGGCACACTGGCTGGGCATGGTCGCGCGCACCTCTAATCCCAGTGCTTGGGAGGCTGGAAAACAGGAGGATCACTACGAGTAGGATCTACACAGTGAGACCTTGTAGATCCTGTACTATATTCATTAAAAAAAAGCAACATTAAAATTATTCAAAATCATACTAACCAGAAATAACATTAGAGAGAATGTCCTAATTTTTTTTTT